CCCATCTCGCTAATAACCACTTAAAAAACAACAATAACTTTCATCATTTGAATAGTTTGAAAATGCATTTGGAATAGGTTTAACTTAATGTTTAAGTTCCCCTGTTTAAGAAATAGAAAACATACGAGTCTTCTCATTTCATGGGAATATCCTGAGTCTGCAATCACGGCTTCAATTTTTGAATTGCAGAATAATTAGATGCACTATCTAATGTATATAAGATATCTATGGGGACTACTAGTTCTCCAAATCAGCCTAATTTTTCCGTCTATATTTAAGTTCCCTATTACAGATAAGAACCACTTTGCATAAAACAATTGTAGTTCTTTTAGCACTCGGCTTATAGCGCTGTCTCAATCTAGAATTAGTCTTATTTGCATGCAACGGAAATCCTGTATCAAAATATCATGCGGAGTTTGCTCGTACAAATTCTCGATCGCATATTGTGCAGGCATATCCGCCATACGAAATCAAGTCAGATACGTCCCAGCGGGCAAACGTTGAATCAACGTTGGAAATGACCTTCCAGACGTTGGATAGACGTTGAAAAAGGGTTGACTATGCAAATTGGATCGACGTTACTGTTTCGACGTTGAAACAACGTTGAAATTAGGTTGTCAATCTCGTCAACCATATAATTCAACGTTGAATCAACGTTGAAATAACGTTGAGATTGGTTCACAAATCGACGTCGTACATTTAACCATGAATGAACGTTAATTCAACGTCTGTTGGCTGCTGTTGAACCAATGTTTGTAAAACAACGTCAGAGCCACGTAGATATTAGGTTGTCGACGTCGCAACCTTTTTTCTACCACATTTCAACGTTGATTCAACGTCGTGTGCCCGGTGGGGTATGGTTTCGACACCATTATAATGGCTTGCCCTTATGTTAATTATATATAGTTTTATTATTCTCGAGTATAGGAAAAATGGTAACATTTCTTTCATTCAAGAAAGACTATATATTGTGACACTGGATATTTTTGGAGGAGTACATATATGTCATATGATATGTATATTCAAATACTTAGTACTTCAAATGCCTAATGTTTTGATTTGAAAATTTAATGAAAATTAGTTTGCCAAATCTACCAGTACTCAGTAGCAATTTCCAATTTCCCTATTGTTTGAGTTACGGATAGGTATAGCTTTCCGCCTAAAACATAAAAACGTTGACTAACAGTAACATAGATAATAGTTATATTGTTATTCTAACTATGATTTCACAGCCATCCTCCCTTCGATATAGGCTTATGGTTAAATACATCATATTTTGTGTGAACTTTGTCTTTATAAATGACATGCAATATTTACAAAGCATTATTATTATTATTATTTATTTTGCCCAGTAGAAAGTTTACATAATTACAGTGCTATAATAACAACGTCAAGGGCTAGGGACCTTATAATGAAACCCTTTCAGGCTTTTTGGTAAGAGGTCCCTAGTTTACAATTTCATAAGAATAATTTTTAAGAGTCGAATAGAATATTTACAAGTAATGATTATAACATAACTAAGACAGTCTTAGACTAAGTATTAAGAAGAAGAAAAGTTTAATTTAACTAAAAATTATTTTTCTATATACAAGACATGAAGGCTTTGTGTTTTCTGATGCGTATATACAAACATTATGACTAGTTTGATGACAATCAAATATATTCCATTCATGTATATTATATTCATACATGTTCAAAAGTTTTAATCTTTGTTGTCCGGCAACAATATTCTATAATAGTTTTGTTTGTGGAAACACCACGTAAATTTATATTACTGCAAAGATCTTCATCAGTGCTAATAATATTTTATGAATTAAGATGAAGATCCGGGCTTACGGATCGAAAGCTTTGCAGTGATAAATTTACGTGGTGTTTCCACAAACAAAACTATTATATATGTTTTATCGCCATGCAAACATACAAAGAACTTAATATTCAATAAGTTTGAAAATAATGACTGAAACCGCAATTAAATTTTGGGCGTCAAGCGAGTCTCGCAAGTTCTGAACTTATATATAGTAGGCCTATACAGACAGTACTCTATAGCGCATGTTTCAACTCGGAAAAATATGAAAATATTATTATAATATTGTGAGTTGTATATAGTCATCCATATTTCAAACGGAACGGAGTGTACTTTCTCAAGTCAATTCACTTTATATTTTAATTCTTTAATAGTTTATTGTTACGACGTTAATAGAACAATTATTATTTTTTATCACTATATATTAGTTATTAATATTATTTTACTTTATTGAAAGATATGAAACAGATACGGTCCGGCATTAAAAAGACGTGTATATTTTGGCACAATTTGTCTTCAGTTGCGTTCTTGCCGGTTCTTGTGCATGAAATGTGTCGTTGTAAATGTCCTTGAACATTTACATGGCAATTGACATATCATCTCACGATTCATGTATGTCTTTGGGGCATTGCCAAGATGTTGGAAAATTGCCATGTCATTTGTCAGACTATTTGATCCTATGGTACTATATATATATATTAACATAATAACAACCTTTAAGGCTTTATTTATAGTTCCTATAAATACGCGTTAATGCGTTATTGTTTAATTTACAGCCATATATATGCATGGCATATATCAGATACCGTTCACTACGACACTACGTCCAACGAATTGTCCCACATGCACATGTACATGGCGCATGTACTGGACTAGAGACATTGATAACTATATAATGTCTATATCGACAGTTTGCAAAAGTGTCTCCTTGTAAAGAAAATCCTGTTTTCAATGCTTGCATGTAGTTTATCTATATATAAAAATGGTCTCAGATCATATCTGCACGAGATGCACTTTGTTTGAATACATGATGTGGGTGTTCTCGCCTTTTATTACATTAACTTTCAGCCTCCCATGGTCAGGAAAGAGTTTCTAACAAATCGGAAAATGACGGAAGATTTTATTTATATACGTAGTAATCAATATAGCTAAATACAATTGAGTTTTCGAAACCACGCGCACATGCAATACACCTAATACTGAATTAGTATGTAAAATATTAAAGGAATCAGTTGCTGCACACTGACTTATACATGAGTATCTATACTATATATCTATTAGCTCTCGTCTCTTAATTGTTCTATATATATATAAAATGAATATAGCATTATAGGTTAATTTTACCAACAATAGCCTACTAACTTCCTGAAATATTAATTTTTCCTTCACATATATTCATGGTTATTTAACAATTATTCGTGACGATTAATTAGCCGAGACGAAGTCGAGGTGAATATTCCCCGATAATCACTGAGCCTGAAGCGAATAATTGTTTTAGTATTTTTACACAAGTCTTTTGTATTTTTGGGACTGAATTCATTTTAATTTCGCTGATTTCTTTATCAGTAAACATCCACAAAACGGTTAGCCGCCATTTTGAGAATTTCAGTTTTGTTATATTCACCTGTAGGTGAATATAACAGCTTAATACGTCAAATTTGACCAATCAGGTTGTAGGATTTGTTATGTTCACTTGTGCAAAAATACTATAAAATAGCTATAGCAGAAATATTCATATTTTTACAATGAGAAACATTCGTATTCTTACATGCAGAAATCAAATAGTCGCATAATATAATAATATAATAGCTATATAATACGTTTGTCTGCACATATAGTCACGGCGTAATATAATAATATAATATAATATGATAAGTTTGTCACAGTTAACATGTTATTTACAGATCAACTAGTATATAGTATAGGTTCACGTTATGTTAACATTGTCATTGATAATAGCCAATAAGCTGACAAGACAATAGGCTTACAAATTAGACAAGTCAAGGTCATTCACGTATATGCCTGCGGAGTGCGGTATATGCCTGCGCTATATCAATGGGATAGTAATTATATAGCTCATGTTGATGCATGCATGCATTCTTTTGTGAATTCAGTATTTGGCTGAACTGCTCACGGTAACTGACTTATACACTATGACATTCTGAGTGTATTATTTTGTATCAGAAGACATATATAATTATATCACTGAAATTTTCAATACATTAATCTGTTTTTTTAGTATTATATTAACATTGCCATCTCATTAGCGGTTTGCCAGTAAAAAGGAAGTTTTCAGATACAGTCATGGTCCTGACTCCTGATATTGGTGTTCAAGATCTGTTTGCAAAGTTTACAGCGCTACTTCCCCATGCGATAGTTATTGTCGGCAATACTAGTCTATCTCCTTCTTTTGCATTATATTTTATAATTATCACTAATTTTTTCATTCAACTTTTCTTGCTTTTTAATGACATTGAATTATTATAAGTATCACTTGTATTGATAGGTTTAATGGTGCATGCATGATCAGTTCCATAACTCTTGATAGTAACAAACAAGCAATATAGCTAGCCAGCTAGCTAGCTAAACTTAAATCTCTCAATCCAATAACATCTATTTCAGTAGACATGAGTATTTGCTTCCCAAAATCAAAAACACACAAAACTATACCACGTATTATCTTCTACAACTACCGGTCAAAAATTCAACTTTATGGAAACTTAAAGAACGTTAAAGAAACTTTATCAAAAGTTTATTAAAAGAAAATCATTATAGTCTTATATAGAATCATTACTTAATGTTTAATGATATAATCCCACGCATTCAGTCGCACAGATCGAGTCTTTTTATATCTTCCGTGGGCGTATGGTACATATAGGCAAACCCATATATGTTTACATAATAATCATTTTTACTTTTTTAACAAAAACTATGTCAAATTTAATTGGAATTTGCAACTTCTTCGCAAATTTTTGCGCGAGTTCAGTTCGACGCGACTATACTCCGGAGCTAATTGACTTGTTTTGTTTAAACACGCACCATTAGGCATGATTAGAACGTTTGTGGGCAATGTATACTCTTTGTTGACGTATTAAGTTCCGAGGTTCAGACACTTCCCAGTGTGTGGAATTTTCCGCCGTCGGGTTGTATAAAAGCTCGCGCAAAGCAGAGCACATGTATCAATCCGCGACAAGGTCTACGATTCAAGATTAAGACATAAGACAGGCTTAAGGGTCAGTAAAAGATTGTTGTGAGTGTTTTTTGAAGTTCAAGATTGAAGGATTGAATATGTGTGATACTGCAAAATATATGGTAAGTTTCACTTCAGGTTGTGTCTGTGATTCAATGCATAATATAATTCTTGCAAGATTCTGTTACATAATTGTTTTTTTAAAAGTAATTAAGTGGAGTTATATCAGGTAGATCTTAAATATAACTGCATGATTGCTTTAAAATCAGTGTAAATTAAGGTTGCCGCTTTTGCCTGAAGCAGCCAAAAGGAGTACAGGTGTTAGTAGTGTTACTACTTGTATCGGTTGCGTGTTGTTAGCGTGTTTAAATAAAGCTATCCATCTATCTATTTATTCCACTGTCAGTACTAGACAATAGTTCGCCATGCATGTATGGTTTGTCGGCTCTGAACTACCTGAAAAGGATTATCTTTCGATGTTTTTTTGCGAAGGCACTTGATCAGTAAGTGAGTAGGCTCCTGACAAAGCTAAGAACCATATAGTATTGCAGCGTCGAAATGATTCGTCCATTTCAGCCGCGACAGTTCAGGCACAAACCATCCACATATAAGCGTGTTATATCAGGGAGTTTAAGCTTCGCGTTCAAACAGCAAATGGCAAACGCCAGGGGAAGAAAAAATTTACGCTACATACAAGGTAATACTACTAATGTATGACGATTCTTTTGAGATAAGAACGAGAAGATGAAGCGAAGAAGTTAAGCAAAAATTCTGCCAAGTGGTGAAGTCTAAACTGCCTATCATGCATTGCCAATAACCATGCATAAATTAATCTTTAAAAATATGTGCTGAGGTTAGAAATATACGAATGAAACAAAGAAACGTTCACATTTATAAGTGAGCCAATTGTGTATATCCGCCATAACTTTGAGCTTCAATAACACTGAGTCCTGCAGCCTTTCAGTTTCAAAAAGCGACATTGCAATTCCGTTTCGAACACCGACTCCATGTCACTGAAGCCTGGTTTCTATATGGTCGTAACGGTCGTAAAGATTGAATCACGATCTTTCTCATCAGCCGAAATACAACATTTTAGAATTGAACATATACGCGGAATGATTAGAATTAGAGAATACTTATGATTTATATGTGATTTACAGGTATACATAAACTATATTAAACTGGCCGTTGAGAAAGATCGTTAGACGTTATAATTACTCTATTTTTTTACGACCATTTACGTCCATATCATAGAAACCAGGCCTGAGTTTCATGACAAAACACATGTACATTTACATGTATACGCACAGACATGCACGAATAGTTTCATTGTTCAGTATGCTTTCTTGTGACGTTTTTGGCAAGTTCGCTCAAAAAAATGTACGTAATACAAGACAAACCAAAGTCAAGTGGCGTTGCAAATTATGGTAAAGGCTTCAATCAACATTTAATTAGTCATAAGCTTGCATATATTACAATCGACTGGAGTTACAGAATTGTATCGGGTCACGAGACTTTTCTGATCGATCCTAAAGAAATAAAACGCGGGATGAGAGTTGGTAGTTTTCCTTCATTTATTTGCAAAAAAAGTAATTCTTTAGCAAGATACTGTTTACAAAACAAACATGAAACTAAGTAAAATGTGTTCAATTAAACGGGTATAAGCGTGCTGACGTGTTCGTATCAGTGAACTCTAACGATAACTTTGCCGCCATCTTTAAAGCGACTTATGATGGCCGCCATGTACGTAGGTAGGTGAGCACTAAATAGCTGTATTTCAACAGGGAAAAAAGCTAAAAACTTTCAGCAATACTTGAAATTTAATACACTGAAACTTTGTTTCCAGAACGTGGAGCAGTTTTAAAGCATTTTCTCTGGAGTCAATGCAAAGTGCGAAGTTCAAACTTGTGTAATATCTTGAATAGGAAATTAAACTGTTATACCCTGGAAGTTTGTGCTGTTAGTGGATGTAAAATACTTAGAACTTTATCCAGGAAACCAGCTAGTTTAAATCTTTAAACGGTTGAAGCCTTTTGATAAAAAAGTACTTTTTCCCGCTAATGTTCGCTCAAAAACAAACTTTTGACTGAATTTCCCGCTCCTCGAAACTCCCCCTAGTTCTTTTGAAAGTTAAGTTATCCCACGCTTGGCTTCAAATTTGGCTTCAACCAACCATAGGACTTGATCAATGATCACTGGAGTAATCGTTCCAGTTTCACGTTCCAGTTTCACTGGTTCGCATGGAGATTCTGTTCACTTCGCCTACACATACCGGCTCTCGCCAAAATGGCCGCCCGCGCTTCCTAGTATTGACAGTGATGTAATCCATGTTAAAATTTTATAATCGTAGTAAAATTATCATGAGGCGACGTCACGGATAGGCCAGACATCTCGGTAGGGGAACATATGAACAGACCCTGAAAAACTACCTTCTACCAAAGTTGGTGACTTCTAGAGACACGCAAATTATGCTGCAAGTTGTTTTAGAATAATAGGGGTTGTTTTGCAAACGGAAGTTGGAAAGCTCCGCCCGCGCGCGCGGCGTACACGCGGGTAATGTCTCGAAATATGGCATTGAGGCCTTGCGTCGCCCCTGAGGATACTCTTGGGAGTAATAGGGGTATTTTTTGAGAATAATAAGATAAAGTCAAGCGGAGAATTAAGAAACAGAATAATGCGCGAATTTTTCGAGCAAAATGTGCGTGTCCCTAAGTAATGTCACCACAAAATACACGCCGTGTACAAAATTTTTGCAACATTGCCAATTGTATGTATAATTCAACATAACACCGGTTTATTAATTAAAACGTCAGTTCAGAATAAAGAATCTTTTTTAAAATTTGAATGCGTCAGTGTTGAAAAAACCCCGTTATGGGGGCTAGATTAGAGTATCGTCATTTAATATTTTTAAACAGGGAAATTGTAGTAAATAAAACTGCAAGATGGCCTGTAATTGAGTATTGATTTAATCGTTTAATTTGGTGGTACTAGCTATAGCATTCGGAGATAAAAGTTGTAATTATGGATTGTTTAATGTGGAATACTTTGTTAATGGTTGGTAATTTAAAATGTATCTAATTTAATTATAATCATATGCTGTATTTCTTAGACTCGTATATTTAATTCATTGTAATAGTTCCGTTCAGCTGGCGTTTTAAATTTACTATTTGGAACCGAACAATGTTTTGAAGAACGAGACGTTATCCGAGTGCTTATTTCAGTATTCAGTTCATGTACCGGTTATAAACGAATATATAGCTATATACACAGGACAGATCGCTTGAGTTCAATAAAGAATTGTTATCAATGAGAGTACTTATGTTGAAGAACTAAAAAAAAGAAAATTCAAAAGAAGTTCTTTAAACATGCAATTGAAGCCACGAGAGTTTATAGTGAGAGTTGAATGCAGTCACGAATCTATTACAGCGCACACTACTCTAGAAGTAGAACAAAAAGTAGACGACTGTCCCAATTATGTTTCAACTTAAATGAAATATACATGCTATAGTGTTGGGAAAGCGTTAAGAACTGCCAACAGAGGTTGCGTGTTGGTATCAATATATTACAAACACAAATATTTCTACTTTATTACTGTTACAAACACAAATATTTCTATCTAGACGTTTTCTCGAAATTAGGCATTAATCCCTGTGTTTTGCATATTTTGTCGTTGCTTGATCACTGCCTCGTCATCAGTCATTTTAATTTAGAGGTTTCCCAAATCCCTTGCATTATGTTTTCCATGACCTTTGGCAGAAGCTTATAGGAGCGCCGACTGTGTGCAACGTAGGAACAAAACAAAACAGGTCGGCATCAAATTTTAAATTGAACTTTCCTTCTTTCCATCTAGGCTTGTTTACTTTTCCTGTTTGCCGCAATCTGCGTTGAAGCCAAGCCGTGCATCACGCACCCGAAGCGTGGAAACATCACCTATTACAGGAATAAATTTTTGTTCGTCAGAGACCACGCCCCAAAACCACAGGGTGCATCTGGCAGTCCCAGCCAGGCGGGCGCGGCCACACAGGGCACACCAGGGACAAAGAAATGCCCTTGGACGTGGGATATTAACACGGACACGGCACGAAGACCCGTCGTCATCGCTGTAGCGAAGTGTCAAAATTGTGACGTGACGACCAAATGCAGACAGGTCACCTACCGCCATAGTGTTTTGATTCAACGTAAAGATTGTAGGACAGGGGAGATGGTTTGGAGCTGGAGACTGAAAGAATTACCAATTGCATACGTATATGATATATAGAAAGTTGAACTCGTTCCAAACACACTCTGGTTAACATTTTCTTGGTTAACTTAGAAATAACCCTGATTGGATCCTCGAGTTAAGTTTTCTTTCTTCTACCATAGTCGGGTTAATTTGATCAGGACTTTCTGGTTATATTAGCCAGACTATGGTAGGACGTGAGGTAGAATAGCCAGGGAATTTAACCCAAATACGGTCATGTTCAGGTTAACCATAAGATTTTAACAATTAGAGTGTATAAATTTATATCAATTCATTTAGGAAAATTTATTTATTCAAAAAGTATAGATAGATAGGAGAGTTTAAGCATGGGCCCTTATAGCATCGCATTTGAGCCATCCAGTTACAATTCAGTGATCGGAATGTTCCATTGTCTTCATTTTTATTGTCTTGGAAATTCCAATATTCTCGATGCCATCCGATCATTCGAAACTGTTTTGATCCATTTGTGATGTTATACAAAGAACTTGATTCTACAATCAATGCAATGGAAATGTTTCCAAAATATTCTCACCAATTAATTTGCTCACACTGACCAATTCTTCTGCTGAGTTTGAAATTTTGATGAATTCCAGCATAATTGATAAACTTTCTGTCCAATGCACCAATCACCTTTGGTTTTGGTGCAATTGACCAATCATAGAGAGGCAGGAAGTGACATTATCAAACACACGAAGTTGCAGACAATTGGTCAAACGTCTCAAATGAATTGGTAAAATATTTTGGAAATATCTCCATTGTCACGAGTGTAAGGATCGATCGCCATTTTCGTATTCACCTAATCCGTGTGACAGATATCGTATTTTGACGAAGGAACCCTAAAGAAGATGGCTTAATTTGAAAAGAAATTTCGTTTTAGAAATTATTATTTTATTTATGAGCTAGGAAACTGTTGTTCTCAGCTAGTCATAGTTTTTTTATTATGACTATAAGCATGTTTGGATAAGCATGTTGTAACTGTAATATTGAGAGATGAAGCAGAATTTTGGAGTATTCCACATTCGCAAGTAAAAAGCTTTTAAAAAATCGACATTCTTTGCGTTGTTTTTCTAAAATATTTTTCATTCCAAAGCACTTATTGAAAACAAGTTCCTCGTTGACGTTGAAATCTTTTATTCCTCAAAGAACTCCCCGCTCCAAAATTTTGCATCATCTCCCGATAAGTTGTTCATTTCTATGAAATGTAAGAAAGTAATTTACATACTTGTAAATCTTGTAAATGAGTCATATATTCATTTATATATTGTGATCGATTTTATCGATTAGGTATTTCTATATAACGCATCAGAACAGCTGATCAATATGAACATATTTAACTTTTAAAGTAAAGTTTTTACGATATACATGCATATACTAGAATCATTCATTTATACATTGTAATCGATTTTATCGATTAGGTATTTTTATAACGCATCAGAGCGGCTAGTCAATATGAACATATTATTTAACTTTTAAAGTACATTTTTAAAATATACATGCATGCAATATTCTTAAAATTATTTTTTATGGAATGTAATAGTATTTAATACTGATTTCTAAGTAGGTTTTCATATTTGCATGAACAGTTTTATACTATAAATAAAACGATTTTATACTATAGTATGTGTAATATCTGAATTTTTTGTCTGTTTGTACAAGGGAGCATGCTAGAAATATTCGTGTAAATTTATACTAACCTTTTAATTACATGTAAATGTTTTCAATTTTCATCGGGCGCCATTTTGAATGTTGAAAGCGGTATATATTATTAGCTTATCGCAGGCGCAATAATTTATGTTCATCTTTGACATTAATTTATGTTACACGATGATGCTCCGAAGGGCGACCGAGAAAGATCCGAAATTTAAATTAAGGCGGAGAAATTCCCCGATGAAAATTGAAAACATTTACATGTAATTAAAAGGTTAGTATAAATTTACACAAATATTTCTGGCGTGCTCCCTTGGTTTGTACTGAACAGCTCCATCAGTTCTGTACTTCTTCTTCTTCAAAATTTATTTGAATTCGGGTCGTAATCAGTAACGTTTACAAAATTGCCATTTCTAAGAGCCGGATCAGTAGAGAATAAGAATATTTACATGTTTACAAATAATAAGAAAAACTTGAATTAATTTGATACTGAGGTATTTATCAAATTATGGCTTGTCAAGCTCCTTTTGAAAGACGCATTTTACAACATTTCGCAACCAAACTTTGCAATTTTACCGTAATTTTAGTATGCTCTTTCTAGCTGTGGTGATTTATTTGCATCTCCTTGCCTAGTTTTAAAATTAGTCTATAATAGGGATTGTTTCTTATTTTTTTATTTCACTGTTCTCCCTATTGGAAAAGACCAGCAGTATTTGTAAGAGTCAGGCTGAAAAGAGTCTTCTTAGGGAGTGTTCATTATTTATACCCGGGGTTGGTACCGTAGAGAAACTAATCAAAAAGAGAAAAAAACAACCACCCACACTTTCGATCAACCATTTTTTTCCCTACCCAACTATTGCATGACTTGGATTTTTATTTTACCAAACCCAATTTCAAGATTATATACAAGTACTTTACATACATACATATATATTATTTATACAAGCTAGGCCACTATAGTATAAACAGTACTATGCATATTTAATTGGTGCACTAACTGAATGTAAAATATAATCACTTGTACCTTCACAAGTTCATATTATGTTCCCAAATTCCTGCAGTCCTACTATGTCTCGTTGTTGTAATCAGAGGGGATGGGGAGTTGGAGTTTAGTTTTCTTTGTGGGGAATGAATGGATATTTCCTGGAATGACCCATTTTGTTAAATAACGGATTTTTATTATTTTGTTCTATTGAACGTTTGTATTAAAAATAATTTACCCAACCATAGGCTTTGTTCAAAAAATATTTACCCAACCCTTCATACCCCCAGAAAAATGGTTTACCCAACCCATTTCTCTTCGAATTCGGGACCAACCTCGGGTATAAATAATGAACACTCCCTTATATACCATGGTTCATACAAAACTTGAATGTCCTTGACTAATTTGAAAACAAAAATTCAAGGCTTTCAATGTCCTTGAAATTGTAAAGAAGCACTTGAAAGTCCTTAAATCTTTCTTGCTTTAGTTTTTTTGATATTTTCTGAAATTGTTTGACATTCAAAATGGACATTTTGTTGATTTTATACGATTTTACATGTTCATATCTGACAAAGCTGTTTGAAACTCATTAAAGTTGCGTTTTGAATAATTCAACGTCAGATTTTGCTGATTACTAACCCCTTTTCTTCAGTATTTACTCCTTGAATTTGCTGATACATCGCATACATGGCCTTGAATGTTCTTGAAAAGTCCTTGAATTTGACTAATTAACTCTTTCTCACATGTATATACTTCAACCAGATGGCAGAGATAAAAAAGACACGTGAGAAACACATGAGATACATCGGAAACACGTGGAGAACACAGGCAATAATTGCGCCACACTTGACAAAATTTAATTGGATTTGGGTTCTACGTCTTGAGAAGTCGCGTGATCGATACGGGAACACGCGAAATCGAGCAATCACTCCAAGCGTAGTACTAGCGTAGTTCCAGTTCCTGTCAGTTGTCCTCACTGCTTTTAGTAACTATATTTATATTGCTTCTCCGTCAGACTGAAGAGATTGGAGAAGTTAGAGACGACGAGGTCGTAGACGACTGTCTTGTTTCCTCCGAATAAGAAGAATTTGAAGAACTTAGACTCAAACTCCCAGAAGGATCAAGTCGTTGCCTCAGTCGGGTATTAATTAAACACGCCAAGTACTTACTTCTAAGAATGATCATTCAAACAAATGCAGCCAAAATCTTCTATATATACATGCATATATCTCACTCAGCTGGTATGCGGAATTTAATTAGTACATGTCTCAATTGTTGTATGCAAACTACATCAGATGCTATATTAATATAAAGGCTTTACTGTACTGTAAAAACAGATTTGTCGTAACAACCAAGGTGACAACGGAATTTGCGCGATCCTCCTCCCGCGGAGCGCGGCGTACACGCTTGTAATCAGTCTCGAAATATCGCATTGGGGCCTAGCGTCGCCCCTGAGAATACTTTTGAGAATAATAGGATAAAGTCGAGCGGATAATTAAGACATAGAATAATGCGCGAATTTTTCGAGCAAAATGCGAGTGTCCCTAAATGACGGTACCACAAAATGCACAGTCAGCAACAGCATTTTTTTATTCGAATAAACGTCAGTTCCGAATAAAAAATCTTTTTCAGTTTAATTAAAAAATTGTTTCACTAAAAATCCCTTTTGTAGATTACAATGTCGTCATATTTTAAAACCGTAACTCGTAGCCGGTAAATAAAACAGCCGAGCAAGATGGCAATATTTGAGCATTGGCCATTGTCATTCATTGATTAGATCGTTTATTAATTTGGTGGTATACTGCTATAGAATTTGAACACAAAAGTTGCAATATTATAAATTATGGATTTTTTTATGTGGAATAGTTTGTCATTAATGGTTAGTAATTTAAAATATATTTAATTTAATTAATTTATACTGCAGTCTGCATGCTGTATTCTATTTCATTGTAATAGTTCCGTTCAGCTGGCGTTTTAAATTTACTATTTGAAAACCGAACAATCTTTTAAAGAACGAGACGCTATCCGATTGCTTATTTCAGTATCTATCCACACTGTTAATTTCGGGGAGTTAATTTAACTCCGGTGGAGTTATACTGTACCTCAATTAACTCCAAATGTGGAGTAAAATTAGGTTCAGAATAATACCACTGGAATTAAATTAACTCCCTGAAATTTACATGCATGTACTTATAAACGAGTACATAAATTATATACACAGGACTGCAGATCGACCGCTTCGGTTCAATAAAGAGCTGTTATATCAATGAAACTCCTTATGTATAATAAAGAACTAAAAAAAAGAAGTTCTTTAAACATGCAATTGAAGCAATTGAAGTCACGAGAGTTCATAAGAGTGGCATGCAATTACGAATTATTACAGCGCACATTATTACAAGCTCTAGAAGTAGTTAACTTAGCTAAATGAAACACATGATAGCGCATGGTGAGAAAGTGTTAAGGCCAACAAAGGCTGTGTTAATAGTATATCTATATACTAGAAGAGGGTCTGAATGGGGTTAACTGACTACTGACATTTGCCTGAATTTTTGACTGACAACTGACAAAATATCCTAACTGACTACTGAGAAATGATGAAAAAAATTATAAGTCAGCATTTTGCAGTAACTGACTACTGACAGCTTGCAATATATCGCACTGACAACTGACAATTGGCTTAAATTTTAGCTGACAACTGACACCCAAAGACCCCCATTAAGACCCTCCTAGAAGTTACTATCGCAAGGGGTTTCCCCATTTGCCAGAAGTTGTTATTCCCCCTGATTGCAGAATGAAGAAGATTCAAATCATAATCACTGATTCAGGGTTTCCTATTTTGAGGTCACAAAACTTGAGCAGATATTTCCATCTAGATATTTTTCAACCCATTAATCCTTGTGTTTCTTATGGTTTTGCCCAAGGGTGGGTAGTAGCGAAGTAGTTGTAGTTCGCTACTGTAGCGAACTACAATTTTAAAGTAGCCAGTAGTTTGACTACTTTTTTAAAACAGTAGTTGTAGTTATAGCGAACTAAATTTTGCCTAAAAGTAGCCAAATAGTTGACTACTTTTCAAACAGCGAATCGCTATTCGCTACTTTTTAAAATTGTTAGCAACCGTTCGTAGAATAGAATGATATTAAGACACGATTTGCTTAAAATATTATTTTATACAGTAAAGATTATATTAGCGCAATGAAAAGTGGCACTCCTGAACACTGTAGTGCTTACAAAAATGTTGCTTTGACCCTTTTTGTTTACTCTTGCTACTCGTAAGTCGATTTGTTATAGGTTATATTACAGCCTGAGCTAGTGGATGCTCCAAATACCATAAAACTAAAAAATATAGAGTAGCGAAATAGCGAAATAGTTCCCTACATTTTTTAAGCAGTAGCTGTAGTCAGTAGCGAACTACTTTTGTTCAAAAGTAGCAGTAGTTGTAGCTGACTACATATTTTTGAAGTAGCTGTAGTTATAGCGAACTACAAAAATTTTGTAGTCAACCCACCCTTGGTTTTGCCTCGTCATGCAGTCATTTTAATTCAGGGATTTCCCAAATCCCACGCATTATGTTTTCCATAAGCTGTTGCAGAAGCTTCTAGGAGCGCCGACTGGCCGCTGTATTCAATGTAGGGACAAGACAAAGCAGGTCGGAATCAAATTTTAAATTGAAGTTTTCTTTTTTCCATCTAGCTGACTTGTTTACTCAGTTTCCTGTTTGCGGCAAACCACGTTGAAGCCAAACGGCCATGCAAAACGCTATCCAACCCGAAGCGTGGAAAAATCACCTATTACAGAAAGAAATTTCTGTTCGTCAAAGACCACGCCCCAAAACCGCAAGGCACATCTGGTAGTCCCAGTCAACCGGGCGCGGCCACGCAGGGCACACCAGGGACAAAGAAATGCCCGTGGACGTGGGATATTAACACGGACACGGCACGAAGACCCGTCGTCATCGCTGTAGCAAAGTGTCAAAATTGTGACGTGACGACCAAATGCAGGAAAGTCACCTACCCAGGGGCCGCGGAACCGGGGGGGCAATGGGGGCATGTGCCCCCCCACTTTTCTTAAAAGTGAAAAAAGTGCCCTTTTTTCTGGGCTAAAATGCCCCATTTAAAGAACGGAAAAAGTATTTCTTGAATAAACGCCCTCTTTTTCTGGAAAGAAAATGCCCTTTTCGCAGTAGTAAAGACTCTGTAAAGGCCATTTCCGACGTTAGAGAGACTCCATATTTTCAAAAATTTTCGTTCGGCTCGTGAACGTCATAAAATCGTTTGATTCTGGTCATATACAAAAGTGCCCCTTTCGGTCAATGCCCCTCCACTTTCGAAATGCTTCCGCGGCCTCTGCACCTACCGCCATAGTGTTTTGATTCAACGTAAACATTGCAAGACCGGGGAGATGGTTTGGAGCTGGAGACTGCAAGAATTACCAATTGCATACGTATACGATATATAGAAAGTTCAACTCGTACACTCTAAACACAATCTCGTTAACATTTTCGATGGTTTTTAAGGCGCATTTCAGCCCTTAATTGAAAAAACTAACTAGGAAAATCAATTAAGCATAATTCAAAATCAGTAAACTCGATGTTTTTAACGATATAAATGTTTTAAAATGTTAAAAACATTAAGTTTGGTGATCTTGAATCTATGCTTAATTGATTTTCCTAGTTAGTTTTTTCAATTAACAAGGCTGAAATGCGCCTTAAAAACCATCGTTCAACAGGCTGAACTGTGCCTTTAACTTAGAAATAACCTTGTTTGGGTGAGCGTAATAAACGTAATATTCCTCGGGCTAAATTTCCTTTCCCCCACCATAGTCGTGTTAATTTGACCAGGACTTCCTGGTTATATGAGCCATTCCGAAGTTGATGAGAGGACTGGGGACGAGTGTTAAATTCACTAAAAACACCACCTCACAATTAGTAAGTATACAAAGTTTGAAGACGTTTACATGAATACCCTTCGAATAATAAGCTTTCGAAAATTGTAAAATTACTGATTAAAAGATTGTTTTTGGGACGCGCGTCCCAAAAACAACAAGAAAATATTTCTTTAAAAAAAGAAATAATGTTTCGTTCCCGTGCTTCCAATATAATTATAGAAATATAGATTCCAATATAGAAATACCAGACGTCTTTAATTAGCGGTTGTGACCAATAGATCACTGGTTCATTTTGTGAAGCGGGCGGGTTCTGGTAATTTTTTCGACGTTTTAGTAATTTTCATTACCTAGTAGTATTAACATTAGTATTTAAAATGAGGAAAAACAAAGAAAACTGTATAATAAATATATACCGCTGTTGGCGCTTTGTTTTAACATGTATTTTATTATCCATGGTTTTAATAAAGAATTTTTAAAAATACTTCAAATATAAATCCTGTAGATTGGCGGGCAAAATTTGCTTGCAGGCAAAAAAATCACCGCTCCGAGATGCAAAATTGCTAATGGTGGTATTAAAAATAATATTATACCTCAAATTCAAATTGTCCAATCAGGAAGCTTAGTTTGTGCCACGTGAGCATGAAATTAATCGCGATATCACGCCTTACGTCATCAATTAGCGAGCCTGCGCTCCTTTTGACAATGTTCCACCCACTGAGCTATACTATATTACTGGAGGACGTGCTCGGCATCAAAAAGTGTCCGCAAAAACATGGCGGATTTCGGCCTTTGCTGACGCCAGAATGACGCCATATGGTTCCTCCGGCTCATGGTAATTACCACTGACCAGGCTCAATTTTGAGCCCGCTACGACTTTCACCCCCCCCTGGTTCTTATTAAAATATTTTTGCTTGTTGAAGTATTTGCAGTATATTCTCGTAGTTTTTGATTTTTTTCATATTTTTTGTACCTTTGACCACTGGTTCAAATGTGTGTAAGTTGTACACATTATATTCTCGTCCTCAAAAGACAGAAAACCTCGAAATACATCCGCAAAGACGATATTTGAAGTCGCAACTACAGGTAAAATATTTCTCAGTTCATAACTTCACACACTGAGTCACACTCGAGCAAATTTTCTACAACAATTGTTGGGTTTAACTGTGGTACAATGTATTATATTTTAGCCACAAGTATGTAAAGGTCTCGTAAAGCCTTGTTGTACAAAGTAATCAACTTTCGTTTCATTTAAATCGTGTGCAAAATGGTATTTTGATCTATTGTTTATTTGTTTACATGCTCTATTTGTCTATTTTATGATGTTTTGAATAAGCCTGCTGTGCAGTTTGTATTTCATGATACTATTTTGAAAATTTTCTGTAGGTGGCACGAAACTGTGCATTTTACAAATATCAAATTATCTTAATTTGACCCTGGGGACTGATTTTATAATGACATGATTACATGAAAGTACAGTATAATGTGCTACCAGCTAGTACTTACCACTATATTTTGAGGGAACAACAAAGAGACTTTATAGTATTTTATATTTTGTACTAACTTTATATGCAAAAGCTAGAGGTACTCAAGGAAGCTCATTCTGCTGTCGGAGTACCTTAAGGAGTTTTGAATCACTATGATTGTAGTTCTGGGGTGGGGGTTCTAGTTAGTGCAGGATGATGCAACCACTGTAGCTAAGACTAAGACAAATAAACCTCGACGTTTCAGCTGAAGAGCTTGGGGCCTTTATATTTGTTCATATTTTTTTAGCTTTTGGTGTACATACACATAGGATTATGGTTTCTGTAACTTCTAATAGTTTCTTGATAAATATAATTCTGAAAAAACAATGTATTTTCAAGGGGTCACTCAACTTGCCAACAAAGTTCGAGCATTGTCTGAAAACCTAGTATATTTCTTTGGTATTCCTCATTTTCCCTTGATATGATTTTTCATGCTTTTTCTCTTTTAGAGTAACCTATATAATCTATTCTTGTTTATTGCAGAATTATTTACCACCACAATGATGCAGTTGAAATTGTATTATTTTAATTTAATTTAAATTCTTCAATGAATAATTATTAACTACCAATCACCAATGAGTCATTCCAGAAAAGATAAACACTAACTCCACAGATATGTCTGAAGTGCTGTCTGAAGTGGGCAGAACTCAACTGCTGATAATAGTAAAAGTATTAGCTAAGGGTGTCCAAAAGTGGGAGGAAGCTGAACCTCCCATCTCTTCCATTAGGGGTGTGGATATTTCTTTGAATGACCCAATCAGTTTGAACTAACTGTATAATCAAGTTATTCTAGTATAATTATCACTTTGTAGTCCCATGAGCTGTGACATCACTTTGGCTGTTTGGCATGTTTATCTCTTTTCAATTTTCTTTTGGTAGCGATAACAGATTACTACTACAGATACTATATTACTACAGATACTGTATTACTACACATTGTTACACCCAAATAAGATCATATACATCAATGTTAACTATCATGATACAATACATCTGTTACAGCAAGAACATTTTTGCTTCAGTTCTTGTATAATTACATATCACTTTGATGCCTGTAATAGAAATGAGAAATAAAGTTACTTTGTTTATGATTGTTTTATTCTATGGTGTGAAACTGTTTCATGTACATTTCAAAATTAATTGCAATGGGTGCATACTGTAGGTTCTGGCCAGTTAGCTGAGACCACCACCCCTACTTTGCAAGTTACAGCTGTGGCTAGATTGGAACTGTTAGCTCTGGTGCACCACTAATCTTGTATAAATCTGAATTAAGAGCAATCGCTCTCCCCAATTGACGAGTAAAATTATCTGGTGTTAGACAGAGTAAAATAATCTGGCGTTAGACAGAGTAAAGGGCGCATCAGGGTGCAATGCGACTCATAACTAGACA